TAATTGAGTTTAATTCCACTCCCAGATAAACAATTGTCTGGGCCGGGAAAATCGAGCTTTTCTTCCAATTTATGGCGAAGCCCAAATTTAGCAGATGTGATGCCAACACCTGAGCCTGTATCAATGCTTCCTGTCTGGAGTGAGACAGGAGCAGCAGGTCGTCCAGGTAAAACAAAACTCTCATCCCTGCTCTGTGCAGTGGATGCAGAGCTGTCTCCACACACTTTGAGAACGTACGAGGCGCGAGGGAGTACCCGAAAGGCAGCCTGTTGTACTGGTACTTCATCCCTTGAAAGGCGAAACGCAGAAATTTTCTGTGTTTTGGGATGATTGGTATGTGAAAATAGGCATCTTTTAGATCGATGGAAACAAACCAGTCGTTTTTCTGGATGTTGTCCAACAGCTGTCTGTTCGTCAACATGTGAAACGGTCTGTTCATGATCGCTTTGTTGAAAGCTGACAGATCCAGAATCGGTCTCATCCCTCCGGTCCTTTTGGGGACCAGGAAGTAGCGTGAGTAAAACCCTGTGTTTTCCTCCTCGTTGGGAACTCTTGAGATTACACCTTTTATCAGAAGCTCTTGGACTTCTGCATTTAAGGCTGAGACTTGGTCTGGTGATGACAGGACCGTCTCTATAACTCCTCCGAACGGAGGGGGTCGGGTTGCAAACTGCAGCGTGTAACCCTTGCATAACACTCTGTCCATCCATCTGTCCGGTGAGCATGTTTTTAGCCACTCTGCGTGACGTTCGTGGAGTGGACGTGCGTTTAAATGATGTGCCGTGTTTTGAACGGATGTCATCCAAACCTCCGCCTCGACCGCCGTCTTGCGTCGCGGAAATGTTTTCCGCGTGACCCAAGGCGAGGCTTTCTCGAAAGGGCTGTTCTGCGCGCGCCCGTGCGCTGTGACTGGATCGCGGACCAACCTTCATGTCCGGGCGGGGCGGTGTGCGCTGAGGCGAAGCGTGTGCCAGCTGATGACGTTTAACGTCGCTGTGCGAACGTTGAGAGGTGGAGGGCGTGACGTCATCAACGCCGTGCTGTCGAAGTGAAGATTGTAAACTTCGCGGGAACGCACGTTTCCTCTGGAGGGACGCGCGCCGCTCTCGCTGAGGGCGGGGCCCGTCGTTGGATTCATTCAGCTGTCTCACGCTTATGTCGCCGTGAGCTGCTGATCGCTGAGGCGCGATGGATGACGGCCGTTCGCGTTTATTCAGGAAAAGCGTGTGTTGTTTTTGCTGAGAGCGGGGACCTCCACCGGACCCGGCCTGCGGTCCCACATTTATCCCGATGTGAGCCGGTGAGCGCTGGGCAGCTGTGCGTGTATCATTAACACAGCGCCGTTTGGATGGAGATTGCTTGTCTCGCTCGGGTGCGCGTTTAACACCGTTTGAGTGGTGATCGTGCGGTTCTGATTGACAACAAGATATTTCGCTTACCGTGGTGTCACGTGAGCGTCTGGGCATGTGAAGGAGCGGCGGTGGGTTAAAAAAAACCTTTATTTAAGGCCACCGGCTCTCTCTGTGTGGAGGATGTGTGTGTAGCGGCTGTGAGCTCATCCGAACTTACAGACTGGCTAAAAACAGGCATTTTGATTTTTGAAAAATCATTTATTTCACTTCCTGTTTCGTTCATACACACATCCCCCGCAGACCGTCATTTCTTAAACCTTCTCCCTCGTGAGCTCTGCGGTTTGTTGGGCCCGAGCGCCGTCTGCAGGCGATCTCTGGGGAAACGCTGAAGTGCAGGCTGCCGGACTGAGGAGGGGTGGTCTCTGGCGGGCGGGGCTGGTGGTGGAGCTGGGCGAGACGAAGCTGCTGCTGCCGTGGAGCGTCGGTGCTTCTGCCTCTGCTCTCGACGATCCCTCCAGCGGGCTGGGGGACGGGATGAGCCGCGCGGCTTGATGAGATGGCGTACCGCTTCCGACATCTCCTCCGACTGCTTGGAATTCGCCAGCATGGTCTTCAAGCTGCTTCCGAACAGCGCGTCCGATGAGATGGGGCCCTCCATGAGGTCCTTGTGCAGCTTTTCCGGCAGCAATGGAGAGTGACGGAGCCAGATGGAGCGTTGGATTACCGTCATCCATGAAGCAATCCTCGACAGGCAAACCGTGGAAGGGGCGCACATGTTGAGGACGGCGTCTGCCGATTTACACAGGGAGCTCTTTGTCTCCTCCGGCAGGTCTGAGGCCTCCAGCCTCTTCGACATGCTAAATGCTAACAGCGCCACGTTGTTGTTAGCCGCGGCCGCCTGAAAAGCACACTGGTGGGCTCTGTTGGAGAGCGCGGTCGCCACCTGGTCGTGTTTCCCCGGAGGGACGGGACGCTTCTCCAGCCTGGACATCTTCGCTCCGAAGGCTTCCGCGAGGCTTGGCTCGAGGGGGGGTACCGAGGGATAGCCCCGCTCGGTGAACCCCTCCACTCTGGTGATGGGGGCGTAAGTGGAGACGGGCGCCCTTAACCTACCAGGACCGGCTGCGGCCTCGTTCCAGTACGCTGTCACCGCTGGAAAACGAGGCCAAATGGGATCAGGACGGCGAGCCGGCGTGGAGCCAAACCTTCCCGCAAGATCATCCGATCTGAGCGGGGGGGGGGAGGGGACGGAGAGCCCCTTAACGCTAGCAGCTTCCCGGATAATGGCGGGCAGCTCCGAGAGGAGCGCGCCCACGGCAGGGAGCGATGTGGTCGCTGAAGCGGGAAACCCCGGGGGAGTCGAGCATCCGCTCGGCCTCCCTCTTTCCAACACTGTGCTCCCCGGGGGGGAACAAGCGTCGGGGCTGCTGCTAGCGTCACCGGTCCCAGAGGAATCATCCGATTCACTCCGAGAGCCGGCGTCGAAGAAATCCATGGCGTCGTCCAGCGAACAGTCTCCCGCCACTGACAGGCAGTCCTCGATGGTAGCCTTAAACAAGGCTGCTCTCCTCTGCCTTTCCTCCGGTGGAAGCTCGTCACAGAGGCGGCAGGAGGAAGCGCGAGCGACGTGGCGGGGACCCAGGCATCCCTCGCAGGTGTCGTGCCGGTCGAAGCTAAGCAAGTAGCCGGTCTTGCAAGAGGGACACAAACGGATGGTGCTGGAGCTGGACATCTCGACGAAAAGGTCAGTTGTTTCTTTGTTTTATTATGCTTGCTGAAGAAAAATGGGAGCAGATTACCCGCTCTTAACGTAATTTATACGGATCGGGTGGGGCCCACACAGCAGGTGGGCGTGGACTAATTTTTTCAGTACGATGCTTGCGCATAACGGGATAAACCCATCAGCGACAGCCTTAAAGGGCGAAGCCTATATGACATAGAACAATCTCTGTTTCATGGGGAAATAGTTCATATTGGGTTAGTGAGGTTAACACAATAACATGTTTTTTATTACATTATGTCAACTTAGGAAGTTTGTGAGCTGAGCCGAATATTTGTAAAATGATGTCTGTTCATTCAGAATGAATATTATTTTAAACAGTTTCAACATGAAAACACAGTATTGTTTTTCAAGGTGAGGTGATCTCTTTCTGAGGTGAGGTGTTCCCCTACACCTGCAGCAGACTAAAGAGGTTTCAGATGTTTACTGCTGTACAAAGGCCGAGATGAGCTTCTTTATTTATTGTGACATACGAGTGTTTGGGTGAGGGATGGTGGTTTCCTTTCTAAGCATCTGGAAGCAGAAATCTGTTTTTTTGTTGTTTTGTTTTTGAAGGAGTTTTTTTTTTTTTTTTTTTTTTTTTTTTCAGAAATAATATAGTATAACAGGACACTTCCACATATTTCTCCTGCTTTAGTGTGTTATTTGCATTGCTTTTCTAACAGAGAATATGTCTGTTTCATCTTCCTATCTATCATGCTCTCCTTTTTTAGGATATATATTTATCTTGGGTCATTACAGCAGAAGAACCAGCTTGCCTGTAAGAAAGTGAATGAGATGGCTTTGCTCAGTCAGACACAAATCTGGCATCTTTCCAATCTCTGCACTCAATCTTTTAATTGTTTCTTAAAAACCCAAGTTCAGTGAGCAAACGCTCTGCCCATCACTGTTTCGCAGGATCTAAGAAGAACAAAAGCTGATGAAGCGTATGGGCTTTCACCATTCACTAATTTTTACTGAGCCATCTTACAGCTGACCCTGCTCAGTGTTCCCTCTGTGTGGAATCTTTACAAACCAGAGGGTGTTGTGTTTCTACCCACGTTCCACCATTGTAAGAGTGTGTAATTCCTTGGATTGGCACTATTCAAAATTCTACATGTCCCTGGATTATTGCTTTCTTTCAATTTTCTGACATTAGTAGTGGGGAATGGAAGAGCAGTGTCACCTGCTGGTCATGTGTGTTACTGCAGCAACATGCTGATATTAATAGGTTCTCAGTTCAGTTAACTTCAGTTCAAAAGGTTTGAAATACAGCTTGAAAACATTGTTTTCCTACCTTTATTAATAAACATAAAATGCATTGTTTAATATCATAAATATTGGTAAATTAATTCAAAATGTTTACTTTGTCTCTTTGGCATGTAGGATGAAAAGCATTTTCCAGGAGTTTATTTAATCTGTGTCTATATTATAAAACACTCCCAAAATGGACAGAAATGTTCATGAGTCATCCACCACAAACCTGTTACAAATAATGTGATTCAAACATTACTGATAT